CGATGAGAGAGAAACATCGACCAGCTGCCTCCTGCACACTCCCCACTGGGGATGTGCCCGCAACCAAGGTACATGCCCCTGACCGGAATCGAACCTGGGACCCTTGAGTCCACAGGCCGACGCTCTATCCACTGAGCCAAACCGGTCAGGGCAGGGCCATGGGGTTTTAGAATTGCCATTACAGACTGGCACAGGGGAGGATCTTCGCTGTTTACTTCACACATTGCTCTGTTGTTTTGATGGGACAGGCCGTGTCGCACCAGTTGAATGCCGTGACCGAGGACATGTATACCGAAGAGTCTGCGGCCCCAGGTAGCCCTACCCACGCTAAGGGACAGGAGGTGCGGAAGGTGCGACTCATCCAGTTCGAGAAGGTCACAGAGGAGCCTATGGTAACCCCTTATCCTGTGTACCCCCTGCTTACTCTCAACCACAGAAGTCACCGGGCCACGAGAGGAAACTCAGAAGCTGAGTTAGGGAAGCAGCCAGCTGTCGTATAGCCCGTCTCCATCTCAAGCTCCTCTCCAAGCAGGCTTCATGCCCGTTCTAGTTGAGGAGCACCCCCTGTATAGATGGAAAATCTTTCTCCTGAGAAATTGCCTTAAATTGTCTTCAAGATAACCTCAGAAAGAGCTTACATGAAAGCATTCTGCACCATTGTCTCTGTTTCAGGGAATCACTCTGAAGCTGAACGAGAAGCAATCCTGTACGGTGGCGAGAATTCTTCATGGTGGCATGATTCATAGACAAGGTGCTCTGTGGGGTTCCTAGGTTGTTTCATTCACCTCAGTGGTGAGGGACATGGAGCTTATAATCTTCAAAACTGGGAGCATTTTTTTGGCCCTCGCCGGTGTGGGTCAGTGGTAGAGCATCAGCCCTGGCACTGAAGGGTCATGGGTTTGATTCCCGGACATGTACCTCCGTTGCAGGTTTGATCCCCGGCTCTGGTCAGGCTGCTTGCGGGAGGCAACCAACCAATCGATGTGTCTCTCTCACATCGATATTTTTCTCTCTCTTCCCCCGACTTCCAATATCTCTAAAAATCAAGGGGGGAAATATCCTTGGGTGAGGATTACCCAAACAGCATTTTTGTATGTGTGTCAAGAGATTATCTGTGGCTGAAACCGGTTTAGCTCAGTGGATAGAGCATCGGCCTGCGGCCTGAAAGGTCCCAGGTTCGGTTCCGGTCAAGGGCATGTGCCTGGGTTGCGGGCACATCCCCAGTAGGAGATGTGCAGGAGGCAGCTGATCGGTGTTTCTCTCTCATTGATGTTTCTAACTATCTCTCTCCCTTCCTCTCTGTAAAAAATCAATAAAATAGCCAGCCAGGGCCTGCCGGATAGGGCAGGAGGGACAGGGAGAGGGACTGTGGGAGGTTTGCTGGCTGGGGGGAGGAATTGGGGGAGGTTGGCTGGCTGTGGGAGGTTGGCTATGGGAGCGCACAGATCGTCTGCTCCCTGGTGGTCAGTTCGCATCATAGCAACTGGTCGAACAGTCGAAAGGTTGGACACTTAGCATATTAGGCTCTTATTATATAGGATACCAATATTTTTCCAGTTAATATTTGAGCAATTACTGTATACAACCCATTGCATTAGAACTTGAGTACAGAGTAGTGAACGAGACAAACCATCTATACCTCCTGGAGCTCACAGTTAAATTGAGCAAATAGGCATTAAACATTAGCTCCTACCCTTTTATGTTCAGTTTTGTATCTGGGGTGGCACAAATATTGGTAAGCAGTCTTCACATAGAATCTAAATACTGATGAACTTTACCATTAGGTAACATTTTGGGGTTTTAGCTAAACAAAAAAGAAATATCGAACTTTCTGGCGAATGAGGAGTACTGTGTTCTTTGCCTTACATTATTATTCTTTTTAGTGGGATCTCTAATTACAGGGAACTTTGAGGATGAGGTGCTTTCTTTTTTTTTTTTTTAATTCTCACTCGAGGATATGTTTAGTGATTTTAGAGAGAGAAACATCGATCAACTGGTTGCTTCCCGTACATGCCCCGACCGGAGATCGAACCCACAACGTAGCTATGTGCCCTGACCAGGAATCAAACGTGCAGCCCTTCAGTGTATGGGACAGCGCTCCAACCACCTGAACTACCTGGTCAGGGCAAGGGCGAGGTGCTTTTATTCTGCTGTTGGAGTACTGAGATCAAGGAGGATGTGATAGTCTTAAACTGTGAAGTACTTGCCTCAATACATTCCTCAAGGGAAACAAAAGAACATTCATGGTTGAATTGTGTAAAATCCTGTATTGTGTACTATGCTCTAGGTCCGTGGTCGGCAAACTGCGGCTCGTGAGCCACATGCGGCTCTCTGGCCCCTTGAGTGTGGCTCTTCCTAAGCCTTAGGAGTACCCTAATTAAGTGAATAACAATGTACCTACCTATATAGTTTAAGTTTAAAAAATTTGGCTCTCAAAAGAAATTTCAATCTTTGTACTGTTGATATTTGGCTCTGTTGACTAATGAGTTTGCTGACCAGTGCTCTAGGTCATGGTTTCTTTTCTATGGTATCCTTTTTTAAAATATATATTTTTATTGATTTCAGAGAGGAAGGAGAGAGAGAAATATCAATGATGAGAATCATTGATTGGTTGCCTCCTGCACGCCCCCTACTGGGGACCGAGCCCACAACTGGAATCAAACCCAGACCCTTCAGTGTGCAGGTCGATGCTCTGTCCACTGAGCCAAACAGGCTAGGGCTGAACATTTCTTCTTTTTTAAAAAATATATTTTATTGCTTTTTTACAGAGAGGAAGGGAGAGGGATAGAGAGTTAGAAACATCGACGAGAGGGAAACATCGATCAGCTGACTCCTGCACACTA